TGATTTCCTCCATCTCTCTGCCCTGTCTCCCCTCCCCTGTCGAAAGATGACCTCCTTCGCCGCCAGCAACTACACCGGCCTCAAGCATATCCATGCGCTGGTTGCCGAGCAGCTTGCCGAGATTTTCGCCACCAAGGGCGCCGAGCTGACTCCGGCTGTGACTGCCGAGGCTGCGGCCAAGCTCAATGCCGAGACTATCTTCGGCCTGGTTCAGGTCCCTGCCAGCTCGAAGAACGGCCATGCCACCATTCCGATGCCGGTGCTGCTGAAGGCTGGCGATCTCAAGGGCAACCCCGCGCAGTTTGCTGCCAGCGTTGCCAAGATCGTATGTGCACCGCCGCACTCTTGGCCTCCCGATGCCTAGTCCCCTGTGCTGTGACTAACTCCCCCTGTCTGTTGGCTGCGCCGCTCCCCTCCAGTTCACCGTGAGATCGGAAGAGCACACGTGATCTCAAGGGCAACCCCGCGCAGTTTGCTGCCAGCGTTGCCAAGATCGTATGTGCACCGCCGCACTCTTGGCCTCCCGATGCCTAGTCCCCTGTGCTGTGACTAACTCCCCCTGTCTGTTGGCTGCGCCGCTCCCCTCCAGTTCACCGTGGGCGAGCTCATCACCAAGGTCGAGCAGGCGGCCATCTACCTTAACTTCCATGCCAACCAGGACTTCCTCACCTCGAGCGTCCTGTCGGCTGTCCTCCAGCAGACCGATAACTATGGCAGCAACGGTGGCCAGCTTGTGCGTTTTGAAGCGTGACCCGGCGATGCGCCCTTCTCTCCCACCACTGGTCCCTGCGTCCCCGTCCCCTCCCCCCCCCCCATCCCGACTGACGCTCTCCCTTTCACTGCTCTCCCTCCCCCTCGTGCGCGACAGGGTCTTGGCAAGAAGATTGTCGTCGAGTACAGCTCCCCGAACATCGCCAAGCCCTTCCATGCCGGTCACCTGCGCTCGACCATCATCGGAAACTTCATCGCCAATGTCCACCGCATGCTCGGGTATGAGGTGGTCCGCATCAACTACCTCGGCGACTGGGGCAAGCAGTTCGGTGCGTCCTCCCTCCCCTGGCATCGCCCATGCGGCCCTCCCATCCTCCCGTTGGCTGCCTGATGCACCCACTTCCCAACGCGAATTCGCGCACTCCCGAATCTAACCCGAAACCCCAGGTCTCCTGGCCGTTGGCTTCGAGAAGTACGGTTCCGAGGAGGCCCTCAACGAGAACCCCATCATCCACCTGTTCGACGTCTACGTCAAGATCAACGTACGTTGCTCGGTGCCGATTTGCGCCTCCCTCCCCCGCGCGGTCCCCCTTGTGACTACCGACTAACGCAACCTGCTCCACAGGAGGAGGCCACCAACGATGCCACCATCCACGACCAGGCCCGTGCCTACTTCCAGCGCATGGAGAACGGCGACGAGAGCGCCCTGGCCATCTGGAAGCGCTTCCGCGATCTGTCCATCACCAAGTACATCGACATCTACAAGCGCCTTGGCATCGAGTTCGACGTCTACTCCGGCGAGTCGCAGTACTCCGAGTCCATGAAGGACGCTCTGGCCGAGCTGAAGGAGAAGAACCTCCTCACTGAGAGCCTCGGCGCCCAGATCATCGAGCTCAAGGACAAGAAGCTCGGACATGTCATTGTCGAGAAGTCCGATGGTATGGTTGGGCCTTGCGCTGGTCCTTTTCCTCCTCTTTCTCTCTCTCTCTCCCTCCCCTCTTCCTCCTATCCCAGACACTCGACCTCGCCGTCCGTGTCTGACCGGCGCTCTCATGGTCCCTAACAATACCCCCTGACTCCCTTGCCCTTTGTTGGGGACGGAAAAAAAAAGGCACCACCCTGTACATCACGCGTGATATCGCTGCCGGCATTGAGCGCTTCAACACTTACAACTATGACCAGCAGTTCTACGTCGTGGCTGCCCAGCAGGACCTGCACTTCCAGCAGCTCTTCGAGATCTTCCGCCGCATGGGCCGTGAGAACATCTCCGAGAAGTGTGCGTACATGAGCTTCCTCTCCCTCTCTTTCTCTCTCTCTCTCTCTCTCTCTCCCCTTCTGTGTCGCCTCTCCCCCCTCGGTGCCTGTGACGCCCTTGCTCTCCGGCACATGTCGCCTGTCTTTTCCGCGATCCCCCTCGCTCACCTGCCCTCTCCCATGCTTTGACTGCCACCTTTTACAGGCCAGCACATCAACTTCGGCATGGTCAAGGGCATGTCCACCCGTAAGGGCACCGTCGTCTTCCTGGAGGACATCCTCAAGGAGGCCGCCGAGACCATGCACACCGTCATGAAGGGGTACGCCCGACCTATCCTCCTTTGTGCCCCTATCCCAGTGTCCGCCCTTGCCCGGACACACAACATTGTAGATACTGCCGGTGGCCGGAATTCCTGACCCGCCTTTCCATCTAGCAACGAGGAGAAGTACAAGCAGATTGAGGACCCGGACGCCATTGCCGATATCCTCGGTATCTCGGCCGTCATGATCCAGGACATGTCGTCCCGCCGCATTCGTGGCTACGACTTTGACTGGCGCCGCATCACCTCCTTCGAGGGTGACACCGGCCCCTACCTGCAGTACACTCACGCGCGCATTTGCTCCATCCAGCGCCGCCTGAGCGCGGTCCTCAGCCTGGAGAAGGACATCTATGCCGCGGACGCCGCCATCGATTTCTCTCTGCTGACGGAGCCGGCCGCCCATGCCCTGGTCGACCTGATGGCCACCTACCATGACGTCCTGCTGGCTGCCTGCAAGACCTCCGAGCCTTGCGGTGTTGTCACCTTCGCGCTGGAGCTGTCGCGCGCCATCTCCTCCGCCCTGGACACTCTGCGTGTCATTGACCAGGAGCCGGCTGTTCAGCGCGCCCGCGCGGCTCTCTTCATTGCCGCCCGCCACACCCTCAGCAATGCTCTGCGGATCCTTGGCCTGACTCCCGTGGAGCAGATGTAAAGACCTCCCTCCTGCTGACCCCCCGCCCTTGACTCAGCACCCTCGGGCATCGCCCATCGATGGGCATGCCTGATCGGGCCGGACCTCCTCCTCTCTGCGGGGGAAAAGCCTCCCAGCAGGCTGTGTGTGTGTGTGTGTGTGTGTGTAAGAGCGTGCGCAGGACCATGTCGTGCGCACCTTCACGCCCCCCTACACACATGCCCGAAACATGTAAAAGAAATACACCCACACGCAGCCACCCGCACATGCCCTGTCTCCCGCGCCCCCCCCCCCCCCCCCCCCCCCCGAAGCCACCTTACGTGGGGATGCCGCGCCCGTGACATGTGCCAATGCATCCGCAACTGCCCGCCAACGCCGGAGCCTGCCAAGATTCTCACGCCCGTGTCAACAAACGACAGTGGGCACCCCGCGCCGCGCCGGGGCTCAGCGCTCCGAGCTCCCTGCCCCCGGTCGAAGGGGGAAGGAAGCGTCTCGGCACGTCGAGAGATCGACCCCAGAGGCGCACTTCCAGCTGATGAGTAGGCAGATCGCTCGTCCCCCCCTCGTCCTGACGACGACCCCAGCCACCAGCACATACACACACACACACACACACACACACACACACACACGCGCAAAAGAAAAAGACGCCTCCCGCCACGCGCACATCCATTCGCGTCTGCTCCCCCCCCCCCCTTGCTCTCTCCCTCTCCCCCTCTCTGCTTATCCCCCGGCTTTCCGTCGCCAGACAGTCGAGGCAGGATGTTGCCGGATGGTTTCGCCGTGCGCCGCGGCCCGCCGCCCTGCCGTCTGCTCCTGGCCCTCCTCGCTCTGGCTCTTCAGGCTCTCTTCCACCTGTCGCTGGCAGCACCTGGATCGATCCCAGCTTCTGGGGTCAATCACTCCGCCCAGCACCTGTGGCTGGTCGGCGTGGCTCCTGGTCGTACGCTCTGCTTTTGAAAATGCCCTCCCTCTGCCGCCCCGTCTGCGTATGCTCACGCTCCCGTCCTCCGTTTCCCGCGGGCCTTGAAACGTCCAACAGTCGTCCACCGCTATCCGCCGGCCGGGGTTGACATCGACCGCGGGACCTTCACTTGTCTGGACGGATCTCGGACGGTTCCCCTGTCGGCTGTCAACGATGACTATTGCGACTGCCTGGGCGATGGCTCGGACGAGCCGGGAACCAGCGCCTGTGCCACCAGCCTGCGAACGGCATACAACTGGCCTGTGGGAGGGGCCACGCTGCCAGTCACCGCTGGCTCCCCGCCGGGGATCCCCCAATTGCTTACTTTCCACTGCGCCAATGCAGGGCATGTGCCGACAGTCATCCCGGCGAGTCGAGTGGGTGATGGGATCTGCGACTGCTGCGACGGATCGGATGAGCTGGTAGCATGGCAACTGCAGCACCAGCTGGAGCATCTTGTGGGTAATGGCTCGGCCGTGGTCGAGTCCTCCGGGCCCCGCTGTCCGAACACCTGTGCCGCCCAGGCAGCCCAGTGGGAGCGCCAGCTTCTCCGCAATCGCCTCGGTGCCATCCAGCGGCTGAAGAACATCCGCGACTCGCGAGAGAGCCTCCTGCAGACCCAGCGCCAGGCTGACGAGAAGCTTCCCCAGTTGCTAAAGACTCGGGAAGAGCACGATGAACTGAAGGGTACGTGGCTCCTCCGGGAGGCGGGGGGGGGGGGCCTTGTTGGGGCTATATGGGTGACATATACTGACTGCCATCACCACCATCCCTTTCTCTCTCCATCTCTTCGACACCCCTGATGTAGTTGCTTTCGAGGATATCACCAAAAAGAAGGAGGATGCCTTCGCCGAGTACGAGGGTGTGTATCGCGCATGAGTGTGTCAACGCCGAACCGGCGTCGAGACAGCTTACTGACTTTCCATCCCCCCCCCCCCCCCCCCAGCCATCAGGGCCGAGCGTCAGAGGATTCGCAACCGCGAGGAGGCAGTTGAACGCCTGACCGGCACGCCGAGCGTCCCGCCAACTTCTCCACCCGAGGAGGTATCCCCTTGGCAAGCCCACTTGCTCGCCCATTTTCCCACAATAACGAGCATCTACTTACCACCGTCCTTATGTGTGTTCCTTCCCCGCCCCCCCCCCCCCTCCCCCGGTCTAGGGCGACTCTGGGGCACCAGGCGCCGGCACCCCTCAGGCTGAGGACGACTACTACGAGGATACCTATGAGGAGCTGGAAGATCCGGCCTACCCATATGACATCCTGATTGGTGCCTGATCTACCTCCTCTTGCTGCCTCCTTGCTCCCCCTCTCCCTTTCCTGCCATCTCCAACTTACACGCCCACCCGCGGGGCCGTGGGAATATGTGCCAAGCCTACAATGCGTTGCAGCGGAAATGGTCCGCGGCTAAGGCCCGACTGACTCGCCTACAGGACCAGCATGAGCGCCTGAGCAAAATCGCCTCGGACAACTACGGCCCGGATGGGGCCTTCTACCACCATCGGCACAAGTGCCTTTCATTTGACTCGGGGTATGTCGAACACACACACACACACACACACACACACACGGTGTGTGTGCGCCCATCTTGCGATGGCGGCCACCGCTGCTCGGCACACCCAATGAAACCTGCCTCCTCTCTGACCCTCAATGTGACATGCCAGGGATCGCTTCCGGATTTGCCCCTTCGACACGAATGTCATCCGGAAGATGAGCCGCGAGCGCTTCAACCTCGGCTCTTTCGCCACGTGGACTCCGGCCGAGGGGGTGGTCGAACTGCCGGGGACCGGGCGCCTCGGCCCGGATGCGGTGCCCCCGTTTCCGGACACTTCGGCTGCCGGAGTCCGGGGGCACGTACATCCTCGCTTGGTTGCCGCCGACCCGGACTCCATCCTGATCCCTCCGCGGCAGTCGCCGGTTCTGCGGCAGGTCTTCGACAAGGGATCCCCATGCTCGCAAGAGCATTCCGGCGATCTGGCCGGGCGCTTTTCCTCGACCATCCAGTTTGTCTGCCGCGGTCTGGACGATGGGGTGGTTCTTTCGTACCAGGAACGCGATCGCTGCCACTATGACTTCGTGGTGGCCTCGGTCGGTGCATGCACCGGGGAGGCTATCGGCGGGGACACCTGGTGGGATACCCCGGAGGGCATGGCCCTGCTGGATGCCCATGGCCTCACTGCGCCAAGCAGCGCCGAGGGCCCGAGTGGCGACCAGAGCCCCCAGCCCCCAGTGGCCCCCGAGGCGCCCCTGCCCACGGGCACCCTCCAGACCCCCGACACGATGCTGCCCACTGAGACACCCATGATGCCCTCGGAGACCCCGGCAGCCGCCCTGCCGGGTGCCGCCCCCTCGCCGATCCCCCGGCCACCGGGCTCGGTCATGGTGGAGCATAGTTCCGCACCGCCACCGGCGCATGCGGATGACGGTGCAACGAACGGCGAGTCGACCGACTCCCAGATGGCCCGGCAGGCCCACGCCCACACGCACCCGGTCCTGCACGGCCACCCGCACGACCACTCGGAGCTCTGAATAGATGTTAATCGGCCACGATTAACACACCCGTCTGGCAGCCGAATGATGTGCTGGATTATCCGATCGCCGGGTCTTGTCATTCTGGGCAGGGGTGTGTTGGGTGCTGTTGCGTGTGTATGTGGGGGGGGGGCGAAGAAACGGAGACAGGAAACCTCGATCTGGGTAGGCCCTGCCATATCCCTCTCTTTTGTGTATGGCACTGGAGCGTCCCCTCTGCAGCCACAGCCTGGAGCTGAAAGCTCGGTCTCGCCCCGCGCCGCCTGGCGATGGGGCTGACGTGCTGCGCGCTTGTGCCGGCACCTCCTGACAGGCACCAGAATGGAGCATGCGAACGTACCCCCGATGCGGCCCCCTCTCCTGCTGTCTAATCTCTCTCTCTTGCTCTTGCTCTCTCTCTCCTGTTGGCCCGGCGTTGCCGACTTCCCTGGGCATCTGCACATTGACAACGCAAAGACGTCATCAAAGTCGACCAGCCCAGCACACACACACACACACACACACACACACACAGACACACGGAGGATTACATGGGGATGATGGCCCGAGGGAGGGCGGCACGGGAAAACACCCGGGCAAGGCCGCAAGCGAGGGAGGTAGGAAACGGGAGGGGAACGCGCTCGCCTCCGCTCTGTGGCTTTCTCCTCTCGCTGCCCCTCTCCCTCCTCCTGTATGGCCGCGGGAGAGGAGGGAGGACGAGGAAAAGGACGCACAAGCAACACACACACACACACAACAAGGAAGATCTTCTCGTCGTCTCTCGTCTGCAAAGAAAATTGTATTGACGAAGGGCGTATATTAACAGGGATGTCACCGGACAGGGGATCCCCCCGAAGGGGAAGACGGCCGCCCAAATGAATACTACTGTGGAGTGTCCATTTACTTGCGGTTGAGGAGCTCCTGCTTGGCAGCCTTGTCGGCAGCGGACTTGGCGCGCATACCGCCGAACTTGACAGAGCGACGGAGCTGGCTGTGAACGCGAGAGGGGGGCGGCGCAGCAGCAGAGGAAGGGAGGAGGATCAGGGCGGCGAAAGGCGAAGGGGGTTAGGAAGGAGCGCCAGAAAGCCAACAAACGATGGAGACGACAGGGGGATGGGCAAGGAGGCGTGGTGCAGAAGCGCAGACGCCGATGGACGCACCCCTGGAGCAGGAAGACGTTGGTGCTGGTCTTGAGGGTGTCGACGGGGACAGTGGTGACGGCAACGGCGGGCTTCTTCTCGAGGGGGAAGAGGGGACCAGTGAACTGGACAGCGTTCTTGAGGTCCTCGTTGGTGGCCTTGGTGGCGTTCTTGGGGAAGACAATGAGCTTCTCCTTGTAGGCCTTCAGGCGAGCAACGTTGGCATCGAGGGACTCCTGAGAGCGGTTCTTGCGGCGGTGGTCGACGGCAATACCGATGGAGAGGGCCTTGCGCTTGCAGACGCCAGCGAGCTGTTTCGGGCGGCAGCGCGGAAAAAGGAGGAGAGGAGGAAGAAGAAGAAGAAGAAGAGGTGAGTAGGAGAGGGGGACAACGTGGAGATGCGCGGCGAGAGGGGGGGAAAGGGAGAAAGCGCACCTTGAGCTCCTCGAGGGTGAAGCCACGGCCAAGGCGGACCTTAGCGTTGTACTTCTGGGTCTGGCAGTGGACGGCAGGGCGGAGGAGGCCGGCAACGGGGCGGGGGGCGATGGCGATGGCCTTCTGAGCGCGAGCAACACGACGGGCCTTCTTCTGGCCGGGCTGGTCGAACCAGGTCTTGACGTTGCGGAACCAGTGCTTGCGGAAGTGGGAGCCGGGGATGATGTGGTTGCCCTTGACCATTGTGTCTGGAGAGGGGGGTGCGTGCGAAGCAAACAGAGAGGAAGGGAACGGTGTCAGGAGGGGGCAGAAAATGGTGATAGGGCGCAAGGGAAGGTGGCTGATAAAGGGGGGAGGTGCGCCCATGAAAGGAGGGACGTGGCGAACAGAAAGAGCCCGCCCCCCAACGAGGGACACATGCATCGGATGTCGCCTCGGAGAAGATGCATCCGACGCATGTCTCCCAGGATGGAGGAAGGGCCCCATGTGCGCACACGCGCACTCCCACGCGCGGAGGAAGACACACATCGCCCCGGCTGCCCCGCCCGGCGGCTCTCTGTGTGCGAAGAGGGGAAGGAGGACGCCATATGCACGCGCCCAAGCGTGGTGCGAGGGCGCGCGGGCACACACACACACACAGACAGGTCCCGCCCAGGCGGATCTGACAAGCAGGCGAACCCGGCGGGGCATGGCCATCCTTGCAAAGCGCGCGCACTCTCCTCCCTGTCGGAATCAGGCCGGCGATGTGGCGGACACGTGTATATGACCGCCACCTCGCAGGCGGGGCGATCCAGGCACATGCCCAGGGAGATGTCGACACGACAGGGAGGACGAGAGAGAGCGCGAATGCAGGACAACGACCACCGTCGTCTGCCAGTGTATCCACCAGGGGGAGATGCGCGCGGACGTGGTGACGATCCTCCGGCACACAGAGAAACCGCAAGTCAAGTGGCGGGACAATGAGACGATGTCCCGGGCATCAGAGGCGCGATAGACAGGCTCTCCTGTGTGACTTCCTGGCGCGCGTCCGGAGGGGGAGGGAGGGCAGGCGGAGGACCGTGCCATGGGGGGCAAGAGGGAGGGGAGGGGGGGGGGCGAGGCGAACCTGATTTCTCTGGGGACTGTAAAACCAACCAAAAAAAACAAAACAGTGTGAGATCTTCAAGTCCGGACTTGGCGAGCAGGGGGATGCCTCTTCAATGGAAGAGGCTGGCGCGAACTGGCTGCCCCCACTGGCCGACGCCCGCGGGCACGGATTCCGCGCAGGGGCCCCCCACCAGCGGGCGGTGCGAGAGGGCAGGTGGGGGGGGGGGGGGGGGGGTCGCGGAACACACCCACACCCACGGCGGCGCACCTCCACCAAGGACAAGGAAATGGGGTCCAGCACTCGGGCGAAGGCCTCGGGGGCTGCAGCGAGAGGAGGGCACTGCCACACCCCCGCCCCCACCCCCCGCCCCCACCCCCCGCCCCCCAGGCCGGATTACTCCGCCCCTCATCCCGCCCCCGTCCCCCAGCCCCAAGGCCCGGCCCAAGCACACACACACACACACAAACATGCGTGGCTACACTACCACCTGGCCACCCGCCCCCGGGTCGGGGGAGGGGGTGCGCGCGGCCAACCCGCCACGCTCTCCCTGCCAGCACACGCCGGCAACTCCTCCCCCCAAGGGGACCCCACCGGTCCCGGGCACACAATACCGCGCACCGTTCTCTCCCCAGCAGGCGCGCGGAACGGCGACCGAGGAAGCAGACTCTCCACTCCCGGCATTTTTCGCGTCCCCGCCCGTGCTCCCACTGCCAGCGGCGGACGACCGCCCGTGCCCTGACCGCAGCAGGGAGCTCCAGTCACTCCCCACGCACGCGCGGGTCCTCGGGTCCGGCCGGCGCGCCGGGCTCTGCCGCCCTGCTCCTCCCGCGGACCATGCACCTGGCCCGGGGGAGGTCCAAGTCCTGCTGGCCAAGACGGATCGAAAATGGGCGAGTGAACGCAAGGTTCCCCCCCCCCCCCCCCCGGTGTGTTCACCTCAGAACCACGCCGGCGGCCAGAACCCTTGGCCCGCGCGAATCTCCAAATTTTGAATAATGCCGCAGGGCCCATGGCTCGAGGCGCTGGCACTCCAAGGCAAGGTCAACCCTGCCCCAACATACTCCGGTGGCCAGGCGGTCCGGAGACACTTGCTATCAGGAACCCCGACAAGAAGGGAGGCGGGAAGTGTGGCCGAACTCCGCTAGGGTGTGTGGCTGCTCCATCTTTGACACCTCCGAAAAAGTGGGCCCAAAGTCCGAAACCTTGAAAGGTGACCAATAATAATTCGCGAAATATAAGCCGTAGGGAGGCCCATCTCCAGAATCCCATACGTGGCAGAATGATAGGGCCCCGCGTTCGGCGTAAAATCGCACACACGTTACCACCACGAATCACTTACATACTCCATTGCCTTTTTTGTATGGAAATAGCATTTCAAGCACAACATTGCTATTCCAGCCGGGCTCCTTTCCGACGGAGGTGCGCCCTCCTTCCCCGAGCATGTCTACACTCTTGTGCTGATGCTCCTCCTGCCGGCTAGCATGGTCCAATTTCCCCGGTCGGCGGGCACCTTCCGAGGGGGGGTGCCGTGTGCAAGGCGGGGGGGGAACCACACGGAGGCCAGTGCCCGTTTGTCGCATTTCTAGCCCCCCCCCCCCCACGCGGGCGTATGTCTGATCACCGAACTTTCGTCCAAGAGGGGGCGGGTGCCTTTTTTGCGGGAGGCTGGAGGGGTCTCTCCTCGCCTCCTCCCACACCCAGATGCATGTGCCTGGGGTCCCCACACTTGAGACCGGTCTGCCGTCCCCATGCAGTTCAGCATGGGGCATTGTTGGATGTGCAAGCAGCACATTGCCAGGGGAGGCGGGGGCATGGTTTTTTTTTTTTTTTTGCGCGCGAGTGTGTTCCCCATTTGCCCACCGTGCCGCCTCCAAGTTCGGATGCCTCCACACAGCCTGCGAGAGGAGGCAGCCCTGGATGTGCTGATGCATGGCAAGTGCCCGTCAGGGGGCTTTCACCTTTTCTGGGAGGTTGCTGCCTTCTTCCCTCCCCCC